GTTGTCTGTGAGGACCCCTTGCCAGGTCACGAGCAAAAAGGCCCCCTGAGGGAATAACAGGGTGGTGATACCTGTGCTTGGAGTTTAGGGCCTCAGCTCACAGCCCACTTTCTTTCCATTGTTTCCTCATTAAGATTTGTCTGGGGTGCCTTTGGCTGTTTTCTGTTCTCCCCATCATTAGCACACAGCCGTAGAGGCTTGAAATGAAAGCCCTAAAGCTCAGTGTCTTCATCCTCAAAGCAGCATCCCAGATTAATATGATAATTCAAGAGACTGATGTGTGTGAAGCCGCAAGCATGAAGTTTTGCCTATAGCACACGCCCATAGTATATGCCTATAGCACACACTCAGCACATGCTTATAGTGCACACTCAGGCATATACTTGTAACACAGGCCCATTGCACATGCTCCCAGTGCACACATGCAGTTCCCTCCTATAGGAAGCAACTGCTTTTTCTTCTTCATATTTCCCATCAACTTGGAATGATTCGGATCTCACACTGGACTAAATGCTTTGGGAAGGACATTCTTCCATTCATCCAAAAAGTACTATGGCACACCTGCTCTGTGCCTGGTGTACACAGAGTAGGGCACTGGGCATGGAACACAAAGGCAAAGCAGACAATGCTCTTCTCTCCTGGAACTGACATTCCAGTGGCTGAAACAGGCAATAAACAAGCCCATTTCCATCGAGGAAGGCCCTCCTTTTGGGGGCAATGCCCAGATGCTGAGAGGCGAAGTTAATGAGGGAGGGGAGATGGTCCATGTCGGTCAGTGGTCAGAAAGCCCCAGAGCAGGGAACATTTGAGCTGAGCCGAGGGCAGCTGTTCCACCATCTGCTACGCCCGGGCAGAGCTGGGCTGGCATGAGCCCCTGGCCTTCTTAACCCATTGGCCCAGGTGCCCTGGAAATGTGACTTCCCCTGGCATCCTGGCAGGCGGATGCCACCTTTTCCTTTGGCTGTCACATCATTGCTGGATGTTGCAGAGAGGAAAGGTATCAGGTATTCCCCTGGGAGGTAGAATCTACCAAGAAAAGGAAGAGATTTTGCATTCTTCCCATGAGCTAAGCAAGATGGGCTCATGCACCACGGGTTTGGGGAGGGAAAGGGTACGAAGGTTTGTCCCGTGTCACAGATGTCACAGACCCACTTCTTGCAGAGGGCTTCCTTCAGGGCAGGTTCTGCCTGGAGCTTTGCCGGGGGACCCCCTCATCCCGGCCCTGTCCTCCTCCCGCATGACCCTGTGGCCTAAACCTCCCTCACCTGCCTGCCCCACCTCCCCCCCGGGTAAACCTTCCACGGCTAAACCTAGGGCAGCCTGCCTGGGGCAGGCCAAAGGAGCCAACAGCCTGCCCTGTGTTTGATGTCAGAGAGTTTTCATGCTTGCTTCCTTTTAGGGCAATGCCAGGACAGTTATTAGGAATCCTGTATTAATCACGGGGCAGAAGGGGCGAGGCTGGGAGGGCAACTCAAAAATAGAAACAGTGCCTGGAAGGGAGTGGGGGAGAAGGCTCAGGAGCTTTGTCATCAAGGCAATCCAACTTCTAAATCTCACGGAAAATGTGAGACCCAAAAGGGAGAGGACAGTGAAGGCAACTTACCCCCGCCCCACCCCACCTTTTCTCCCCTCTCTAGAATTTAATGAACGCTTACCATGCACCAGACACTGTTCCTCACAGCAACTTTATGCAGTAGGTACTTCTGTTTTCATGCTACAGGTGAAGAAACCGAGACCCAGAGAGGTTAAGTCACTTACACAGGGTTACATAGTATGTTAGACACACAGGCGGGACGAGCACCCAGGACTCCTGGTCCCAAGTCCTTCTGCTTCCCTCAGCATCAGACCCAGACAACTCTCAGCCAAGAGCCCAGAGGGCAAAAAGTCAGGATTCCAACCCCTGTGCTCTGCAGACGAGGTGCTGGGTCTCACCCTCCCCATGGGACAGGCGGCCTCACGCTCCACCTGGGCTAAACGAGGGGCTTGGGGAATGTGGCCCCGTCTGTTATTCCGCAAACTCATGCCAATAGCCATCCGGCCACCGAGCCAGCCACCAGCTTTGCAAGGTTCCCTCACCAGTGATTTGTTGGGAAACTGGAATATGCTGGGTGCTATTCTAGATGCTAGTCCTGACTTCAGGGAGTTTGCAGTCTGGGAAAGAGAGACAGACTTGACAGATCATCAGCTGGAAAGCCCTACCACGTGTGCTACAGTGGGGATCACTGGGGAGCATGAAGAGGCTCGAATGTCCTGGACCTGGAAGAGGTGATCAGGGCTGCTGCTGGAGGAACTTTGGGCACGTTACTTAACCTCTCTCAGCCTCTGTTTCCTCATCTGTAAAATGGGGCAGTTGTTACCTAATAGGGCTTTCGTGAGAAATTGATAAGGAAATGCAAGTCAAGTGCTCAGCATGGCCCTTGGCACAGAGTAGTAAGTACTTATTAAACTAAGCTACCCATATCATTCCAGTTGGCCCTTCCAACCAGAGCGTAAGCCCCATGAGGGCATGGACCAGGTCTGCCTGTTCACTTCTGTATCCCCAGTGCCTAGATCAGAGGCTGGTGCATAGTAGATGCTCAGGAAATATTTGTTTAGTGAGTGTATGGGAAAAGGCCCAGAAGAATTCGGAAGAGGCAGGAATATTCCAGTTGCCTTGGAGCTGGCCTAGCAGCCCTTTTCCCTCCTGGGCCCTTCTTCACCCACTCACACTCAGCAAGCACACCCAGCACCCCATCAGGGTGCTCACCACCACTCTGCCCTGCCCAGCTGGGGAGCTCCATTTGGCTCTGCCAGGATATACATCTCCAAACACGCAGAATCCCCGCCTCACTGCTTTCCCGTAAGGACACGTTTTCTGGCGTCCCTGAAGCTACTTCCATTGTGTGACTATGGTGCAGCCCTGGGACCCACCTTCCTGCTCTCACACTCCCCCATGTCAACACCAGCTGCTTCCCTTGGGAAAATCCATCTTTTCCAGATAGATGGATGGTCCTGGGTACCCTGCACGAGGTCACAGTAGGATTTTTCCAAACTTGGAGCAGATTACCTCCAGTGGATGAGGGTCCTTATAGAGAAAGGGGTAGATTTGCATAAGAGGGGGTTGCGTTAGAATCTGGGGCTCATGGTGCAGGACAAGTGTGTGACAGTCAGGAAGAATGAAAGAAATGGTGATCCGGGCTCCACGGGGCAATGCTGTATTTGTTCCAGCTTTTAAAAATACACACACCTTCCACTGAGGGTCATTTATTCCTTTATCCATTCTGTCTTGAGTATCTCCTATATGCCTGGCCCAGTGCTAAGGGATAATGAGAGGCCCAGACAAACTCCCCATCCTCTGTGAGAGAATGATCAGCATTGAACAAGTCATTACAAGAGGGTTTGTTTTATGATAAAGTCTCAGGTGCTAATGGGAATCTTTGTACAGTGATGGGGCTGGAGAGCCCTAACCTGTCCTGGGGGAGGCTGCCCCAGGAAGTTGAGACCTGAAGGCCAACCACATGAATAATTTTGTTAGAATTCCTGTGCAATGGTGGGTTTTTTCCTTTACTTAATTTTTAAATTGACACATGGTAAAATTTCTAACAGTGTGCAGTGTTACACAGCAAATATAAGACCCACCCCGCCCTTCTCTCCTGACCTCCCAGCTCTTTGATACGAGGCCTTGTATGTCCCTGCAGTTACCATCCATTTATATTATGCATCTATATGTTACTCTCACTGAAAAAAATTTTTTTCAAATGTGATCATACCATATCAAGAGGTTCTCAACCTGGGGTGATTTTGTACCTCCCCCTGCCCAGGGGACATTTGACAATGTCTGGCTACATTTTTGTCTGTCACATCTGAGCAGATGGGCTACAACCGGCATCTAACAAGTAGAGGTCAAAGATGCTGTTAAATATTGTACAATGACAAGACAGCTCTCACAACAGAGAATTATCTGGTCCCAAATGTCAACAGTGCTGAGATTAAGAAACCCTGTCCTCTGTAAACACACTGTCTGCAGCTTGTTCATACATATATATATTTACTATTTATAGATAGATAGATAGATATAGATAGATAGAAGATTATTCTCATTAGCATTTGTAGATTCTCCTCCATCATTTTTTATTTAGGTGTTTGCAGTCTTTTCCTATTGCGAACATTTGTACTGCAAGGAGCATTCTTTTCCATATACTTGCCCTGGAGTTCATGTGTGAGGTCAAAAGATAAATTGGTGGAGGTTGCATGGATGAATCAGAAGGTCATTCGCATTTTAAATGCCCTGATTTCAATTCTCTTTGGGGCAGAGTCCATTAGGAGAGTGGGTCTGGGGTTCTGGCTGCTAAACAGGACCGAGTTCCTCAAATGTTGGGTGGAACAGCTCCTTTTCATTCTCATCTACAAACAAGGGTATCCTGACCGCCCATCTCTCCACAGGATGAGGGTGTCCCCCACCTGAAGACAACGAGCCAGGTCCTGAGCGATGCGCCCGAGCTGAGTACCCACGGCCCCACTCTTCCCCATGGAGAAAGGACTTGTTTTGCCCCAGGACTGCCGGGACTTTCTGCACAGCCTGAGAATGAGGAGCAAATATGCTCTTTTCCTGGCTTTTGTGGTGGTGGTTTTTGTCTTCATTGAAAAGGAAAATAAAATCATATCGAGGTGAGGGATGCAAGCACAATCCCATAAGGAATGGGAGATGGGGTAGGGCTCTCTGAGCCTGAAAAGGCAATCTTTCAACCAGTGCTCATCAGGCCCTTCCTGTACCCAAGCAGTGGGCTGTGCACAAGCCCTCAGCAGTGAGACGTGGGCTCTGGATTCAGGCAACCTAGGTTTTTCTGGCTGTGAGCGCTTAGACACATTGCTTCTCTTTCCTGTCGTAAGTTCCTCTTCCCTGAAATGTGGCTAATGATCGGGCCTGCCTTGTAAAGATTAAATGAGAAAATGGAAAAGCTTTTATTTAGCCCAGTGCCTGGCACATAGTTGGTGTCCAGTATTTGCTGGCTGTGGTTGTTATTAACTTCCTGGCCTAGGACGATGCCTGGAATCAACAGCACATCCCCTATACCAATCCGAAGTCATGGGTGAGGGTGAGCCCATGGAAAGGCGGGATCCTGGTACAGATACCCTGGTGGGCAGGCATGCCATGTGCAGCTGCCCAGGTTATGTGTTGCTCAACTCCAGGGGCGTGCACTCACACAGGCTACACTGGGAATGCTGCCCTCCAGAGTTGGCAGCATAGTGTGTGCAGTGGGCCTACTAGACATAGAAAGATTCCTTAGATCCGCTCTCCCAGGCACAACCCCTCCAAGAAAGCATCAACCAAGATGGATAGGGATGGGGCTGTGTAGCAGGCATTGAGATAGTGCTCTGCCTGGATTCCTCAGCAGGGAACCTGTCTGTGCCCACAGGGTCCTACTGCAAGCTCTTGCCACTCTCCGTCTAACAGCATACTCTCCACCTGCACACTGGCAAGCCCCAAGTACTGGGGAGTAAATGTCTCTGGGAGCAGCCCTCAGCCAAGGCCAGCTGGGAGCTTTACCCCGGGGGAGAATCCTGAGGTGTGTTCTACACTGTCTCCCAGGGCCCCAGGGTCGCCCAGTCAGAGTGATTAGCCCACAGGTGTATCCTGCTCACCCCTTAGGAACTTCTTTTCCTCCCCACCTCACTTCCCTACCCCTTTACCAGTTCTTCCTGTGACCATGTCCCCAAATCATCTACTTACCCTCAAATCCTTGCCTCAAAGTCGGCTTCCGGGGAAACCCAAAGACAGGCTTTGGGTGATCGGCCTGGGACATGGCACAGGGGATGGAGTCTCCAATCAGTCACTGACCCTGGTCTCCCTTGGTCCTCACAGGGTCTCGGACAAGCTGAAGCAGATCCCCCAGTCCCTGGTAGATGCCAACAGCACCGACCCAGCCCTGGTCTTGGCGGAGAACGCATCCCTCTTGTCCCTGAGTGAGCTTGATTCAGCCTTCACACAGCTGCAGAGCCGCCTGAGAAACTTCAGTCTGCAGCTGGGTGTGGAGACGGTGGAGGAGGCCCAGGGGGAGGGGAAGGGAGACGAGGGGGAGCAGCCTCCCGGCCCCCGCGAGGCTCGGCCCCGGCGCCACGTGCTCCTGATGGCCACCACCCGCACCGGCTCCTCGTTCGTGGGCGAGTTCTTCAACCAGCAGGGCAACATCTTCTACCTCTTCGAGCCGCTGTGGCACATCGAGCGCACGGTGTCCTTCGAGGCCGGAGGCGCCAACGCCGCGGGCTCGGCCCTGGTCTACCGCGATGTGCTCAAGCAGCTCTTCCTGTGCGACCTGTACGTCCTGGAGCATTTCATTAGCCCCCTGCCAGAGGACCACCTGACGCAGTTCATGTTCCGCCGGGGCTCCAGCCGCTCCCTCTGCGAGGACCCCGTGTGCACGCCCTTCATCAAGAAGGTCTTTGAGAAGTACCACTGCAAGAACCGCCGCTGCGGTCCCCTCAACGTGACACTGGCCGCCGAGGCCTGCCGCCGCAAGGAGCACATGGCCCTCAAGGCCGTCCGTATCCGGCAGCTGGAGTTCCTGCAGCCGCTGGCCGAGGACCCCCGGCTGGACCTGCGCGTCATCCAGCTGGTGCGCGACCCCCGGGCAGTGCTGGCCTCCCGCATGGTGGCCTTCGCGGGCAAGTATGAGACCTGGAAGAAGTGGCTGGCCGAGGGGCAGGACCAGCTGCGAGAGGAGGAGGTGCAACGGCTGAGGGGCAACTGTGAGAGCATCCGCCTCTCCGCGGAGCTGGGCTTGCGGCAGCCGGCCTGGCTGCAAGGCCGCTACATGCTGGTGCGCTACGAAGACGTGGCCCGCAGACCTCTGCAGAAGGCCCGGGAGATGTACCGCTTTGCAGGCATCCCCCTGACCCCGCAGGTGGAGGACTGGATCCAGAAGAACACCCAGGCGGCCCGGGACGGCAGCGGGATCTACTCCACGCAGAAGAACTCCTCCGAGCAGTTTGAGAAGTGGCGCTTCAGCATGCCCTTCAAGCTGGCGCAGGTGGTCCAGGCTGCCTGCGGCCCCGCCATGCAACTCTTCGGCTACAAACTGGCACGGGATGCCGCCTCCCTAACCAACCGCTCTGTCAGCCTGCTGGAGGAGCGCGGCACCTTCTGGGTCACGTAGGGGGGCTGAGGCCACATGCACCCCTCCTCATGAAAGTCCCACCCTGCCTTCCTCACACCCGAGCCAGCGGGTGAGACCGCAGGGCTCTCAGAGGATGGCGGGAAGCCGTGCACCGAGCAGGCTGCCCTTGCGCTGTAGCAGTAACCCCCAGCCAGATAGCTTCCCCCACCGCGGCTATGGGCTGGGGTTTCTTGCCGAGAACAGGACAGTGCCCAGTACCCTTGAGGGTCATCAAACCCAGACCTAAGGGCTATAGTCTCCTGAGCAGGCCCAGGCAGGCCTCTCTCTCTCTCTCTCTCTCTCTCTCTCTCTCTCTCTCTCTCTCTCTCTTACACACACACACACACTCACACACACACACATACAGAAACATACATGATACACGCATACATGTCTGCAGACCCTATGGGCTGGAGTCCAAATATTTAACAACTAAAGGGTCTGTGGGCACTGACCAATCACAGTTGGACTTCCCACTGGGCTCAGTGTTCACCTTTCAGTCTCTGGGTTCCTACACAATCCAGTGTGGAGTCTGGTTGGGTCCCTGGGGAGGGACTGGGGCGGCCCAGGGTGTTAGAAGATGGCAGTCGAGGCTTACCAACCAAGAACCATTCAATATTTTCATACATGGGATAGCTGTGCTGGTTACTGATGAAGTCAGCTCTGTATAGAGCTACAAAATACACGCGTATAAAGACAATACCTACACACACACACACACACCACACTGAAAAAAATCATAAAAACACAATTCCACATTATACACGTATAAAAACACAAGGCAAGCTTCCCCATTGCTTTATGCCCACAGGGTTTACAAATTTCTCTGTATCACACATCTAAAGAGGAGCCTTTAATTATTTGGGGGCAGGGGAAGGAAACACGGTCATGGGCCATTACCCAACCAGGTTTAGAATGAACGGTGGACGCACAACTGCTGAGTCCGAGGCCCCTGCCCGCCTTGGAGTCACATGACTACCTCCTCTGGCCCATTTACATCCTCGCTGCTGGCAGGCAGGATGTTTTGAAATGGCGTGGCCGACCCTCATGTGACTGCAGCCCAAAGGCCCATTCCAGTTTGGCTGGTGTCCTAGCATGTCTATGTTTGAAGGCTGCCTGGGGCCTGATTGGCAAAAGCAGCTGTGGTCCCCGGAGGCAAAAGGCAGCTCATGGGTCTTGCTGCTTCCAGCCAGGCCTCTGTGCTGCAGGGCCCTGAAGACAGCCCAGTGTGCTCTTCAGAAGAAGTCACATCAGGATAGCCCCTCCCCTGACAAGACAGGGGGCAGAGGTCAGCCTCCTGGATGGTCGCCATGGTTACATGGTTAGTGTCTACAATTCCTCCTTTAGGGCTCTGGGAAGAGTATTGCTCAACTCAGGATGGACTGGGTGTTTTATTTTTTTGGGTTTTTTTTAGGGTATTTATAGTTTGGTGTCTTGTTTTGTGGCTGTGTTTTTGGTTTTGTTTCTGCAGAAGTGCCACTTGGAAGCAATCTGTGTTTCAGGGGCTGAGGAGGTTCTGGGAGGACCAGTGGAGAGCACTCTGGCTCCTGCTGGAGGGAGAGGAGGAGGAGGAGAAAGAGCCTTCCCCAGAAGGCTCAGAGCTTAGGTGGCCACGTGGCAACCCACAGTGCCCCATGGGCTTTTCTGTTTGAACCCCATGTGGAACGAATCTCAGAAACCACCAGGCTCTTTGCTGCATGTCCAGAAGCAGCATAAATTAAGCAGTCCTCTCCCCCTCCTTGAGAAGAGGCCAGGCTTGAACATTTCTCCCAAGCCCAATCACATTACTTTGGGGGGCTGGGGACCTATGACCAAGCAGCAAATGTCCCCAAGTGGAGACCTTTCCCAACTCCCACCCCAACCCAGGGAGCAGAACTCAGTACCACCTTAGAGCGTGCAGGGAGCTGTAACAGTTCACTAAGGACTGTTTCTGATTTCCTGGACAACCTCTCTGTCAGATCTGTCCTATTGTCAAACCCAGGGTTTTGGTGTGAGTAATATGGACATGAGGGAAACACAGGATCTAAGTCCAGCTGGTGTTGCTGTGGGGAAGGAAGGGGTGTGTCCTGGCTGGAAATCACCTTTTGAAAATGTGAGGACAGTAGCCATCTTGTGGGGTCCATTATAATCTCCATATTTGAGCTGTTGGGTCTCCATCACCATGGACTTCAGCCATTCAAGGAGGTCTCTACATTAGGTTTTCCAACCCAAGAATAAGTTGTTTAGGGAACTGGCTCTAATTTGGGGTCTAAAGGGACTCCAGCTCTGAAAACTTGACCCTGGGGCAGAGTGGGGCCAGGATTTTTCTGGCAGGCCCAGAAATGCTGGTGGTTCTTCCCCAGCCCCTGCCCTGCTCTCTGCACTGTTCCCACCTGCGGCGGTGGGAGGGTGGGGGCGGGCAGGCTCCTCTATCCAGGGTTCTTCCTGGAGCCCTCTTAGCGTGGACAGCAGACTTCTTCCTTCCTTCCTATGTCCGGGGCCAATGCCTCCACCCCTGAGATCTGAGGACTGTGCCGAGAATGGACCTTTCGGACTTCTCAGGACATTGATAATTCGTACACTGCAAGTTGACTTAATTTATTTATTTTGTGAAAAAGAAGAGACAGAAAATACTTTGTTATTTGCAGAGACTCAAAGCTGTACCCAAATCAAGAAAGACAAACTAGGGGCCGGCCGAGTGGCTCAGTTGGTTAAGAGCTCACTCAAGAGTTTGAGCTCTGAGCAACAGTGGTTCGAGTCCAGCCCGAGCTGAGCAGCCGCTGAGCTGCCAACAGGTAGCAGGATGGCTCAGCTAAAAAAAAAAAAAAAAGAAAAAAAAAAAAAAAAAGAAAAAAAAGAAAGACAAACTAATAATAATAGAAACCATTGATTCATTCCACACATACAAGGACACTCCAAGACGATTCAGAATACAAGAGGAGACTCAACCAAGAGTGGAGGAGTCAAGATGGCCCCAGGCTATGGTTTAAGGAGCTTCCTTGGTTTCCTCTTATTGATTTGAAGATGCGACAGACCATAAGGCCCTTTCTGCTGTAACGACCCTTGCCCAGGTGTCTGAAGGAGGACACAACTCAAGTGAGTGTTGCCTCGGTGCTCAGTGATGCTCTGGGGCTTGGGGAAGGACAGGGTGGGGGACAGGGTGACTACTGACTCGACACTCTTTGGGACCTGGTTGGAGTCCTGCCTGTGGGGTTTTCAGCATGGAGCTGGGCTGGGGAAGGTGGTCCAGCTGGGGGCTAGTGCCTCCTTTTCTTGTGAGGTCAGCCCTGATTTTTTTGCTCCTGATGGTCCACCAGGAGCCTTCGCCTCCACAGCACCCACGTGCCTGGAGACAGAGGGAGTAGTTGAGGCCTCACCTCTACAGCTGCCAGCTTCCCTGGAACAAGAGGCCCATTCAGCAATGAGCGTTTACTCATTTTCTTCTTGAAGAAGACCTCTTTAGCCCAGCCTATATAAATAGTTCAGAACATTCCATGCCTCGGTGAGACAGGGCAGTGTCTAACCCCCTCAGGCTGTCACCACCACTGCCCATTCCTGGCTTCTCCTCTGCGCCTTGTTTGTAAACCTTGGAGTGGATGAGGGCACAGGGAAGAGGGATCTTTGGGAGTAGTTGATGGGGGCAGGACCCGTGAGTCCCCATGGAGAGAGAACAGGAAGAAGCAGATGCACAGCTCTGTCACATGCCCCGTGCAGGTTATCACCAAGTTATTACTAAGGTTGAGAGACATGAACACATTCTAGTCTTTGTCCCTTTAGGTGATGCACACACTTGAAAATAAATAACTAAATGAACTGAAAAAAAAATATTTAATGAAGAGTTTACTCCATGTCTGCCAGCACCCTCAGCCAGAGGCTGGTTTAATGGGGCAGCTGCTGACCAGACACCCAAGCACAGAGGGCATCCACTCAGCTCATTACAGTGGATCATTCCCTGCCATCTCTGCCATCTGATCATGGAACAAGTTTCAGGAGAAGGTCAGGATATCTCTGTCCCAGAGGATGGATGCTTGGTCTGGACAGTAGACAGGAGATAATAAGCATCAGATGGTCTTGTCCTGACCCTGAAGGTCTCTTCCAGTCATGGGTGAGCCTCTCCCGCACTAAGGTCTGTTATAATTGACTTTAGGACCTGTCCCTTGATAGGCCCTGGATTATGAAGGACAGCAGCAGAAGACTGGGTGGCTGCATCCCCAAGGCAGCCTTTCCCACTCCCATCCCCAAATACTGAAAGCAAAGGTAGGTCTCAGAGGGACAGTTTCCTGAGGAGGGGAGAGAAAGAGTAGAGGTCGGGGGACAGATTCCTGCAGAGGCCAAGTGGGTCTTGTCAATCTGTACAAACTAAAAGAAGGAGCATCGCTGAAACCCAGGGCCCCCAAGTTGCTGAGTTTGCTTGTGAAGATTCCCAGGACAGGGTCCAACTAGATGGAAGGGAGGAGGCCCAGAGTTTCCTGAATGCAGCTACATCACCTCTCAGCTGCCCACGGTTTCAGGAATAGTGGAAGCTGCCCTTTACCTCAAAAGGACAAAACAAAATTGGCAACTTCAGGTGTCTCAAGAGCTTCAAGATTCTTTGGTCTTGTTTCCTTTGTCATTCCATGACTGTGCCTGGGGCACATATCAGTTATGTGTTTCCAAAGATACAGACATGGTGCCATCCTCATAGGCCTAGTTCATATTCTAGATCAGGTATTTTATTTGGGAAATAAAATGACCCATGTATCCTGCTTCCCCTAATACTGGGCTTGACCTGGCACCCTATGAAGTCTCCCCCTCATCTGTATGTTCTAGGCCAAGTCTGCCTGGCTCCCCTGCTCCCTCCTGGATCCTGCGAACTCTTTCGGCCAAGACCTCAGCCCTGTGTCATGTTTCATGGCCACACAGTACAGGACACTTCCTTCATGGTCATGTGTGGCCACGGTGTGTACATATGTGTCCATATGTGTGTATGTGTAGCATGCAGCTGATTCTGCTCAGCCACATTGCTCCCAGCCCTCTTGCCATCAATGTCCCCTATATCCTTGCCATGGCTACCATCTGCCATTTCCTGGAAACGCAGGGGCTGCCCCTTCAGAGAGCTGGTGGCCACCGCTGGTCAGAGTCTGCTTTGCGGAACAGAATGTGAACCCATCAATCGATGGCTTACTTGACTTATTTAATTAAAGATGAAAACATGCAATGAGCAAAACCTGAAGTGTCTGCCTTTCTTTTGCATTTGTTCTCAGCAGCAATCATAAAAATTAAAAGGAAAAAAAAATTAGCAGCTGTAGGAATGGGGTGACTTCTAGCACGAAGCAGGGCACGGGAAACTGTTGTCCACTCCTGAGCCGTGAAAGACACAAGGGAAGTATGCTAAGTGCAGGGGGTGTGATGAACGTTCTGTATGATACCAGGACGGCAGAGGGGTGATGACCGTGCTCGCGGATGGCTGCAAGAATGAGATCTGAGAGATAAATACTCAGGCATTATGGGGCAGGGACAGGAACATAGGCTAGAGGTCTGGGGACCTGGGGGCAAGTCCCAGCTTTGCCACCATCTGGCCCTATGACCTTAGACAAGTCACTTCCCTTATCTGAGCCCCAGTTTCTTTTGAAATGAGGTGAGTAATCTGTGGTATACAATGCTTGTTCCAAAAAGCCCTTTAGGGATTCAAAAGTCAGCCCTCTCACCCAGAGCAACTGTGTGTTGATTGGGTTCACATGTTGAAATAGCACCTGAGATTTCATTTGGCCTTCAGTAAAAATCTCAAAAACCCCATGAGGAGATTGCTAAGGATGCTTTCTGCTAAGAAATGTAATGGAATCCTTTCCAATTGCAATTGCCTTGCTCCATCAGTCATAACAACTTTAGTGCAAATTAGATTTCCACCCTTTTGTCTCCTCACAGCCACCTGGGGGGAATGGGCACTTGACGGGGGAGAAGGGAGAAGGTTCACTTTGGAACATGGGAAGTCAAAGCTGATGTGGGTTTGGGGGGCACGGGAGAAGCAGGAACAGCAGCAACTATCCACAGGCAGGGAAGAGCTGAGCCCTGGGAACAATGGTGCCTAGAGTGAGGGGATAACGCCAGGGTGAGGTGTGATATGAAGGAACGGGACCCCTTCCCCAAAACTCAAACCTGTGTCTCAGCCATTTCACCCAGGCCAGGCCTTAGAAATGCAAACCACTTTTCCTCCCAACCCTTAAAACACAGGAGTCAGTACTGTGATGTTTCAACCTGAGTGAAATCTCCACCAGCCCGCCCCCAGCCAGGTGCCACTGCTGTCTCCTCTCTTCTGGGGACTGGGTATATTTAGTTGCATTTCTGGGCAGTGCTTCCTCCCACAAATGGCTCCCTGGAGAAACAAATTGCTCTAATCATACAGCAGAGTAGACTGGACATCTCCCCACCCACTACCCGCCTCAGCCACCAGCCCAGGCTGAAAGCCATTTTTTCCTGCCCAATCCCAGACCTCTTCGGGCTCCTAAATCTTCCTTCACTACACCCCAAATTACCTAACCCTAGGAAGGAGCCTAACAGCCCATGGGGTCTCTGAGGAAGTAACAGTCAGCTGAACCCAGGAAGCAATCTGATTATCGCCCAGGGTCTGGCTCCCAGAGCCCTGCCAAGCAGTCCCATCACTAGAGCCTGCAGCAGCGAGTCCCCAAGTGTGTATGGAGGAACTGTGGTCACCTAACTGCTCTTAGGAGGTTACAGTGTACATTATCATAGTCAAGGCTCTGGGAAGTTCTGCTTTCCTTTGACCCAGCTTGCCAGGATTCACTCAGAATCATTTTTATGGGTAGAAATCTTTTATCATGAAAGGTGTTTTTTGTTTCTTTTTGCCAAACAGCATTTTCAAGACTCTGGCATTCTACAACACAGCTTGTAGCAAGTATTAATAGAATAAACACATCACACTAAAAGCCCCGCAAAAAATACAAGGTGATGTGTGAAGAGGCTGGGGAGAAAGAGCCCAGGGTCAGGTTTCAGGGCCCCCTCATGAGAGGCAGGCCAGAAGCAAGAGCTGGCCTGCAGGGTCACTGGGTTCATGGCCCCAAGACATCCGTGCTACTGTTATAAAACCTGCTGGTAACCTGAAGCCCTTGGTCCTTGGCTTCCTCAATTCAAGCCGCACCTGCGGGGCCTCTGTGGCCTTACCCAAAAAGCATGGTGACCCCCACAGAGGGTGGGGACCCTGGGGAACCAGGCCAACCATAAACACCACAGGACACTATTCATCTGAGAAACAGGAGCTTGGGCTACTTCTTAAAGGAGCCATTTCTGAAACAGCTGGACAAAGGTTACCAACAGTAAACAGGTTCCCTGGAGATATAATCCTCTAGTAGCTAGTAAACCCCTTGCTAAATGCGGCTGTGCAGTTTATTGGAAGAACAAGCTAGTAGTAAAGGCTCAGCAGGAGAGGCTTGCCCAAGAAAATCAGAACGAGAGAAAGAAGGAAGGAAGGGAGGCAGGGAGGTTGGGAGAGCGACAACAAGGAGGGGCCTTTCTCATGAGATGCAGGGAGGAAGACAGCCAAGCTACTGAAAAGAACACCTGTGACTAAAGCCACAGCCGTGATGTCCAAGAATTTGGGGACGTGGAAGGTCAGGCCAGGCCCAGGGACACACAACAGCCCTGCACACCACTAGCCATGGACCAAATCTACCCTGTGGGTGTGTGGCCCATGCAGTGTCTGGTTTCGTTTTTAACAATTGGCGTTAGAGACCGACACTTAAAAATTAAGGGGTTTTATATAC